CTACAAAACATTATTTTGAGTGAGGTAACCCAGACACAGAAAGACAATTATCACATGTACTCACTCATAGGTGGTTTTTAAACATAAAGCAAAGAAAGCCACAATTCCAGAGAACTTAGACAACAATGCAGACACTAAGAGAGACTTACATAGATATAATCTTCACGGGTAGTAGAAAGTAGAACAAAACAAGATCTTCTAAGTAAATTGGGAGCATGAGGACCTTGGGGGAGGATTGAAAGGGGAGCGGAAAGACAGGGAGGAGATCAGAGAAAAATATAGAGTTCAATAAATATCAATAAATAAAAAAAGGGAGCCAGAAGATATCCCCAGAACTGGAGTTAACAGAGGTTATAAGCCTCCACGTGGGTGTTGGAAACTGACTGTGGGTCCCCAGAAAAACAGCAGAAGGCAGCGCTGGAGAAGTGACCCAGGCCCTTTGAAGCCCAGAGGTCATGCATGGCTCTCAGATTAAGCACTGAACTTTTTAGAATGCTGAATTTGATTTTGTTTCGATTCTGTCTATATCCTGGGTCTTTCCTCTTGGGGTAAGAACATAATTATTTTGATTTTACAGGATCCCACAGATGAGAAACTTTGAACTTCTACAGAGACTTAAAGAGTTTTTAGAGAAACAGCAGACATTTTAGAGCTATTTGGAACTTGAAAGGGACTTTGGATAAAAAGATTGAATTTTTAAAGCATTTGAAATTTTAGAGACTGTGGGACCCTTTAAAATTACTTGTCCTTTATATTGTGGTATTAGCATGCCATCTTGGGACAAGTGAAAGGAAATGATCTAGTAGGATAATGATGCATCTGTGTGTCATGTTGACAAGGGTTAACTATGCCTGCCAATTTTATGTCAACTTGACAGAAGCTAAAATCATTTTGAAAAAGGGAACTCTCAACTGAGATTGGCCTGTAGGCAAGCAACCCAGTGGTGCATTTTTTTTGATTAATGATTGATGTGGGAGGGCCCAGATAAGTGTATATGGTCCCCCCCCCACACACACACACACAGGCTGGTTGTACTGAGTACCATAAGAAAATAGGTTGATCAAGCCATGACAAGGAAGACAGTAAACAGCACTCCTTCGCGACCTCTGCATTAGTCCCTGAGTCCAGGCTCCTGCCCTGACTTCCCAGGATGCTGGTCTACAAGCTGTAGGCTGAAATAAACCCTGTCCTCTCCAAGCTGCTTTGGATCATACTGTTTCACAATAGAAGTACTACGACAACTGAGCCTACTTATTCAAAGATAATGCATCCACTCTCAGAGCTATAACCATAACGCCCTCACACGCATGCTAACGATTCACCAATGGAGATCTCGATTTCAGAGATTCTATCATCCACAGAATTTTCAACCCTCTTGCCCCCAAAGTAAACTCAATTCTCCTTGAAACTTGCTTCTTCTGAATTTTCCATCTCTGTGGATGGTATACTAATGCCATAAAACAATGTGTCTACATTTAATTCTTTATACCCTGTGCCTCTCCATCTTGACCCCCAACATTAAATTATGACATTCGTTCCATTTTTCCCTTATAACTCTCTCGATTCTGTCTCTTCACAGTCACAACTTTGTTCACTAAAATAAACTTTATTTGATTTATAATTAATTTCCTACTTCTAATAGTTTTCTCCCCATAAAGGTATCTTACAAAGTTGTCTTTTTAAATTAGAAACAAAATTATAATTTTATCAATTGTATTGTTTTAGTGTTGACTGCCCTTAGAACAAAGTAAAGATTCATCCATCTCTTCACAGTACATACTAAGCCATTTGCAGTGCAAGATAAAACCATGAAGAAAAAAAAAAGATCAAACCATGATTTCACCCTTTGGGCTCCTGAACTCCCATTGCATTTGGTTTAATGCATTTTCCAAACCCCTTCTGCATTAACTTTTTATTGTTGTAGCCAAGACAAAAGCAACCTAACGGAAGAAGCACTTATTTTGTCTCATGGTTTGGCCCCATGTGCTTGGTCAAAACATCACGGCCAGGAAGTATGCGTCAAAAGCATCTTTTCTCCATTAAGGACAGGAAGCAGAGAGAAGACAAAAGATGTCAGGGACAAGATAACACCAAAGTCACACCTTTAGTGACCTCCTTCATCCAGCCAGGTCCCCTCTTCTAAGTTTCCAGAAATCTCCCAAAATTGTGCTCCCAGCTGGGGAATCGGGCCCTCAGCCTGTCAGTCTTTTGAGAGGAAATGAATATTCAAACTTTAACAGCGTCTTACTACTAGCTCCTACCCAAACTTCAAATCTCAAATTATATTGTAACCTCCACAGAAGTTATGGCTATTCTTTTCGATCTGTGATGTTCCCAGACAAGCCACCAGTCACACACAGCTTCAAGTGCACCTGAAATGTGGCCACTAGAAATTTAGATATTAAATGAAAATCACACACCAGGTTGTAAAGACTCAATAATAATAATAATGAAGAGGAAGAGGAAGAAGAAAAGAAGAAGAGGAGGAGGAGAGGAGGAGGAGGAGGGAGGAGAAGGAGGAGGAGGAGGTGGTGGTGGTACAATCCCTTAGTAATAATTTTATATTGGTTACATATGAAAAAATATTTGGACACATTTATTAGGTTAAACTAAACATATTCATGCAATGTTAATTCCAGCTTTTTAAAAACCTTTCAACAACCTATCTGTAGGAAACTCAAAATTACTGCAGACTGCCTTATATTCTACCTGGCCAACACCTAGGCTAAACAAGGAGGAACTCCTTTTGCCATGTCCTATAGTTGCTTGTAGTAGTTATCTTTGAAAATCACTACTGGCAGACTACAAGCATCTTATGAACAAGGGGATGCCTCTACCTGGAAATTCCAGAAGGGTGCTAAAATAAATATTCAATAAGTATGTAAATAATAAATTAATTAAATACTCAATCCTCACTATTTGGGGATTCCACAGTTGTGGATTTGCATATACACACAAAAGAAAACTCAGTAGTAACCTCCTAAACAATACATGTGCTTTCTAGGCCATCTGTGAACGCACAGAGATTTGGCCTGTCCACATTTTCCTAGCCGAGGTCAAATACAGCAGTATTCTCTTTTATGGTTTCAACTTTCAAATTGCACATACGTCTTCTTTATGCTCTATTTACTACTTATTTTGGAACTTTGTTTCTGTTTTGCATTGTATGACTTCTGCTTAAAATGCCCCCGGAAAGATTCTGTCGAAAAGTTCTCTAGTGTTCCTATGCTCAAGATTGGGTTGCGCCAAATAGAGGCAGCAGGAGTGTAGATAAAATACCAGGTTTGAATTATAGTGCTCTTAGCCACACGCGCAATATTAACCATACATATGAAATCAGATGTCTTCGATAGAAATAAATGTGACAGAATCTCTCCTTATCAGTGAAAATGTGACTCCAAGAACCGACATGAAACCAAATGCTCTTAACTCTCCTAGAGACAAGGGCTCAGAAGGTGCTACTTCCAAGAGACTTCAGAAGGCACTGTTTGGGTTAAATTAAACAGTCATTTGATTCTACATACAAATCTTATGTGAATATGGTGGTAGACAAAGCAATAATTTCAGCTTTAATTCTCTGACTGACTTACAAGCTACATATTTTGGGGCAAACTGCATCATTTTCCCTGCCTTTGTCCATTATTCAAAACGCAGATAATAGGGTAACTGCTAATGGCTGCCAAGGTCTGGCTGGGTATGCGGTGGGGGTGGGAGACAGAGCTGAAGACATAAGGCACAGGAAATTTCGGAATGAGGAAAATATTCTCATTATTATTATGGTGATTATATAATTGACTTTCTTTTTCAAAACCCGTGGAATTAAAAGTACACTTTATTTTACAAAAATTCTAACTTCAATCTTAGTTTTAGAAAACGTTAGTAGTCAAGATTAAGCAATGGAGATGAAACAATACACTCCTATATAACTCTTACTTAAATATTAGCGGCAACAATAATAATAGGGAAAGGTTAGGCAGCCTAAGAAAACGCAGACGGATTCTGATTTGGTTCTTTCACATATTAACAGGAGGCACAGTTTACTTTATGGAAGTCAAGTGCTTATTGCGTCCAGAAACACAAGTGAAATACGTTCTGCATATATGTATACAAAAATATAAGACTGGATTTACTTACAAGACAGCAATGCCAAGTCACTGAAGAATGCACTGGGTTCCAGAGTGATAAGTGATCTGCCTAGATTCTCTTCAAGGAAAGAGAAATGCAGCTATGACGAAACTGAGAGAGAAGCGCCTCTCTAAAGAATGTCTTTAATCCTTAACAACAAACCAGCAGCAAAAAAAAAAAAAAAAAAAAAAAAAAAAAAAAAAAAAAACCTCTAGGGCACATCAGTGCCAGGAAGATCGTGGGGCAGAACAGACAAGCTCTGGGCTCATGGTTGGTACACATCCTGAGGAATTTTCCACCCCTGGGAACACTGTTGACTTGGGCCAGGTGGCACCAGCATCTCACCACAGGGTGTCTGCAGTCTTCTGCCAGCCTACAATGCGGAGACATGAAATAACACACCACGGCTGGCATTCTTCTTCGAGCTCCAAGCATGGACTCCAACCCCAAGGAGGGCTGCAAGCTGTACCAGAGGCTGAATCAAAGTTCCTTCCAGCGCCACTTGGGACACTTGGAAAATCCGTAGGACTTGAGAGTTGTGAAGACCATTGTGTGACAGCATCCAGGCGCCTGCGTGCCAGGGCTAATGGCTATCCCCAAGGTCAGCTGGGCCCCTAACCGAAGATGAGGATGCAGCTGCGCAGGTAGCACAGCCAGGCTTCAAGCAGTCGACTGCAGCCACCTCTGCACGCCGGAAGTGCACTAATCCGCAGCACGTGGGGTTGCCAGGGCGCGCTTCACGTGACTGGGCGGGGACTCGGGAAGCCTCGAGCCAATGGGCGATCCGGGGGCGGGGCCGAGTCCGCGCCCGGGCCTATCCCGGAAGTGTTTATGATGGTGGGCCGGGCCGTGGCGGGGCGGGCCAGGGCGGGGAGCCGGGTGTGGGAAGCGTGGCGGCCCCGCCTCGTCTCCTGGACCAGCCGTGGCCGCCAGAGCCGCCGCAGGGACCGGCGGACGCAGCGAAGGCGTGCGGTGAGGGCCCGAAGGTGAAGATCTGGGGTCGGGCCGGCGGGGCGGGTGCTTCAGCCAACGATGGTGGGGTCCAGGCGAGGGGAGGAGCCGAGAGGCATGGAAGGCTGACTGCGGGCGAGCGCGGGACCGCCGGGCACAGGCCCTTCGCCGCTGGGCCGAGACCTGGATGCCAGGGCGGCGCCGCTGCGGGTGCTAGGCGCGCCGAGGGCTAGGTGCTGCCAGCCTTCCCTGGACTTGCGGCCTGGCTGACGCCGGGTCAGCGGGGATGGGCTGGAAGGTTGTGGGCACTTCTTGCCGTGGGGTGGTGAGGATCGGACCTACTGGCCCAGGGCTGGCATTGCCTTCACTCCCCGGCGAGCTCCTCTGCAGCTTCCTTCCCCACCTCCCACCAAGGGATGAAAAAGGGTTTAGAGGCCTGAATGGCAAAGTATCCACCACTTAAGAGTGGGTGTCCTATAGATGCAGAATTAACGGGACACTCGGCTTGTTACCTGCCCCCAGAATGAGACTTGGCCCTACCTGTATGCCCATTATTAAAAAGCAAACAAACTTTTTGCATAGTTCCCTCAGAAAAACCACACATCTTCCCAGCCTACCATGGCAGACGAAATTGACTTCACTACTGGAGATGCAGGGGCTTCCAGCACTTACCCTATGCAGTGCTCAGCCCTGCGGAAAAACGGCTTCGTGGTGCTCAAAGGACGACCATGCAAAATCGTGGAGATGTCAACTTCCAAGACTGGGAAGCATGGTCATGCCAAGGTAAGCCCTTCCAGGTCGTTCTTTGGCTTCAGTAAGATGATTCGTGTTCCATTCTACATCATGAGGCTTCTGTATTTAAAAGAACTGTTTATTCGTCCCTCGGTCTCTGAATGATCGGCTATTTCTCTGAATGCTCTCCTTAACTGGGTCCTTAGAATGTTTTATTAGCTGGCAACTAAAACTTTCCTGAATCTGGTGATCTAAAACATCTCATTTACAGTTAAAACCAACCTGTTCTTAAAACTCTAAGAGACCTGATCTTCATTCTCTGTGGGCTCTTGTAATTGAAGTGCTAAGATCTGTAGGGTATTGAGTTTTGATGCCATGAAACTGTCCGGTGTTTGCTGAATCTCAATTATGACCACTGCTACATTTTTTTTTAAAGAAAATAAGATGACCTTGGAATGAGGTAAAAAGAACCCATTCCGATCAGTGTTGGTATTGTGCCCCCATGTAAGTAGCTACTTACTGACAGATCAAACGTGTTTCCTGTCCCCCTGTGTTAGGTACACCTTGTTGGAATTGATATTTTCACTGGCAAAAAATATGAAGATATTTGTCCTTCCACTCACAATATGGATGTTCCAAATATTAAGAGAAATGATTATCAAGTAAGTAGTGATTTCCTTACTAATGTTGGTTCAGATGTCTTAGTAGAAGTTTGACAAGATTTGAGAGTAACTTTATAGGGTCTTTTCCTCACCGTTAATAGACTCCATTTACTTTACAGGCTAGAGAAATAGTGTTCTGTTTTGTTCTTTTTAATATTTGTGCTTTTTTAAATTTTTGAAATAGAGCATCATATATCCTAGGCTGGCCTTGAACTCACTTTCATCCAAGGATGACCTTCAGTTTCTGATCTTCTTGCCTCTACCTTTGAAGGCTGGGATTACAGGTTACACCTGGTTATGCTGTGCTAGGGCTCACACCCAGGGCCTTGTGCATGTCTAGGCCAGCATGCTGTACCTCTAACCTCTACTGCACTCTGACCCCACTGGGGACCAGTGAGATGGCTTAGTCGGTCAGAGCACTCGCTGTCAAGCCTGGCCACTTAGCTCAGTTCCAGAAGGGCACAATAGATTCCTGTGTCCTCTGACCGCCACACATGAGCCGCGAAACACATGTGCCACACACATACTTTTACTAAATAAACAAATGTAGTATTTAAAATGCAGTATTCAGACCAAGGGTATCAGAAAGTCTAATATTTGGTAAAATTACTATTCTCTCTGCTGTAAACGATTTCAGGTTTAGATAACTCCTTCCTAAGTGTGTTGTTTCTTTTCAGCGAGCAGACCTAAGATTTCCAACACTGGAATTCATATTCCCACTAACCAAGTTTTTACATAATTCAAAATCTGGTATCCTTAAATAAGAAAGTAACTTGAAACCCATAAATATAAAGTGCCTGGCCACTGAGAACAAAGGAGAAAATAAAAAACTATGTAACTGACTTATGTATACCCACTAACTGTGACCTTTTATTAACATATATTTTTATAATATATTTTAATATATATATATATACATGTGCATGCACACCCACACATATGTATATGATCTTCAAGCTTTAGTTCCAATTACACCTGGAGATAGGTCATGTTTAATGATGGCATTTTGTGGTTTGGTGTGTTAATGTTAACCAACCTTCTGGAATGTAGAATCTCTGATTGATCATAGCTATAGAAGTTTTTGTACCAAATACAGCGTAAAATAAACTTTCCGTCTTAAGTGTAAGCTTTGTCTTTAACCTTAAGCTGGTCTCTCTGCACTGCATCATGCATCCGTTCAGTGACTTCTTCTGATGCTATCCATATGTATACTTATTTTTCTAGTCTTAATTTGGTTTTATATTTTCACTATGCCACTTATGAGTGTTTTATATATTGAGCCTGAACAATTTAAAATATTTTGATAATTAAATCAAACACCAAAGCAAGCAGTGTTTTGAATCAGGCAGATCTAGGTTTGAATCTAGGCCTAGCACTTTCTAGCTAGATGTGTGTGTTTCTCTAACCTGTCCCTTTCAGTCTACGAATCAAGGCTGACTGAGAAAGTATATGCCCATGAGCAGCTGTGAGCACCAAGTATTTTTGTTCTGCGTCACATTTTCTATATCAAATTCTACCTAATCATTTCATTGTTCTTCATCACTGAACTTAGATGTGCTACGTAGTAGGCACTCAGTAAACACTCGCTAAATGAATATGTATTTATTCAGTGGTGTATAAGATTGACATGTCAAATTAAGGCTAGGTATAGAATTAATTTTGCCAAGATGGATTTTTCTCATCCTGCCTTGTGAGTGCTCTGAGCCCTCAGTATCCTCCATGTTCAGTGGTTTCCCTGTGCTCCTGCCTGTCGATGCTTCATCAAGCCAACACTAGCAATTCGCATGATTGCTGTGGTCAAATTAACGAATCATTGAAGCTTAAAACTGAACATAAAAGGACTAATTTGGTATGGATTTTATTTGGGTGTTCAGTAAGGTCCAAGCATACCCTTCACCTCATGTGCAGAAATTAAGCAGACAGTTCCTACTAACAATGCCAAGCCATATAGTAGCCTAGCACAAAAGGGAAAATTAGTGACTGTGGCCCTGTCTCCATTACTAAATTTTCGTTTGTTTATCATAAAGTTTTTATGTTCTCGTTTTTCATTTTCTTTGAAGTGTTCTGTGGTTGAGGTATTGGGCTGCCTTCTCAAGCTTGTACCCAAGAGGCGCTGTTTACTTTCCCGTAGTCCCAGCCTTAGTATGCTGTCAACATGACAGAGTGGACAGTGGAGGATGGCGCCAATCAAGTGGGTCTAGGTCTCTGCTTTGGCACTTATTACTGCGCAGCATTGGTTGGCAAGTTACTCGATCTCTCTTGTCTCTTTTTCCTCATAAAATTGGGATGTGAATTACAAACTTCTTAAGAGACTGTTTCAAGGCTTAGTGAGCACTCAGGACCATGCCTGGCATAGGAGGTTAGCGATCACTCAGGACCATGCCTGGCATAGGAGGTTAGCGATTGGGCTGGAGAGATGGCTCAGTGGTTAAGAGCACTGACTGCTCTTCCAGAGGTCCTGAGTTCAATTCCCAGCAACCACATGGTGGCTCACAGCCATCTATAATGAGACCTGGNGTTAAGAGCACTGACTGCTCTTCCAGAGGTCCTGAGTTCAATTCCCAGCAACCACATGGTGGCTCACAGCCATCTATAATGAGACCTGGCGCCCCCTTCTGGCATGCAGGCACACATGGAAGGCTGTACACATAATAAATAAATCAAAAAAAAAAATTTAAAAAATGCAGACAAAAAAAAAAAAGAGGTTAGCAATCACTTAGGACGATGCCTGGCAACTTCCCTGTTATAAAACTGGCATGGAATGTTTATTTCTAGGCATTCAGTTAGGAACTCAGTTCTGTGAGCTTTCTAGTATGTTTACTATGCTCTGGGGTCTTCACTCCTCTACCCAAGTGCCTTGGTGAAATCCCTGCTTCTCTTATTATCTGGCTACATTCAGCTCCTTTGTATCTGCTGAATTCAGTATTTTGAGTGCCAGTAGGCTGCCAGAATTATGACTTTTAAATTCAATTTGCATTTATATAACCTAGTGTTTGTGTGTGCCATGCCTCCACACTTGTGGAGGTCAAAGGACAATTTTCAGGAGTTGGTTCTCTCCATTGATCATGTGGGTCCTACAGATGTAAGGATGACCCATCTTCAAACGTGCCAGTTGCCCAATACTCTGATAGCGACTTACTGTGCCTGAGTAACACCCTGCAGTTTTCTGCTGTCGTGTGGGTTTTGTTTCTTGAAATGTGGAGCAGCTGTAATATCCTGTCTTTCAAGACATTGACACTGACTTCATTAATAGACTGTCACCCAGTCTCGGTCTGCCTTGTTATCCTGTAGTTCATGTCATGTATTTTTGAAAGAAACTGTCTAAATGATGTGTCCTTGGAGTACCAATCACACCAGGAGGCAAATGTACCTAGCACACTAATGGTGCCGTGAGCCCTGACCACCTGGTTACTAGGGTGGCTTCGGCAAGATCTTTATAGCCTAAATATAGCTTTCTCTCAAAAAAGAAGGAAGCAGCCATTGGTGTTACTGCTAAATCTTAAGTATATTTTTGTGCAAACTTCCATCTTTTCCCAAAGGTTTAGGATGAGCACACATGCAATGCATGCAGTTGGTGTCCCGACTCCTGACTAGCATGTGGGATTTACTGGCACGGGAATGTGGCATCTTCTTTTTACCGAAAGGTCTTACTAAAATGATCCAGGGTGACTTCATGTCAGAGTGGGAGGTAGACACGTGCTCATTAGAGTATGAGGAACCATCAAGGCCATGAGTTCGGCACAGTCCAAAGGGATCCAGGAATTAGCGTGACTACGCTTGCTTTGACGGGTAACAAAACAACTTGTAAATTAATGTGGAAGAGAAGATATCACACAGAAACTCAAATATGTTGTTGCCTGAGTTCACAGTAAAGGTCCGTTTACTGGTTATCTTCAGTGCATCCAGAAGAGGACATTTCAAAACTAATAACAGGAGTGAGTGAGATGGCTCAGTGGGTGGAGAAACCTGTTGGCAAGCCTGGTAATTTGAGTACTACGTAGTAGAAGGAGAACCAAATCCCTCAAGTTTTCCTGACCCCGACATTCCATCATGGTATGTGTGTGTGTCTGTGGCTCTGTGTATACATATGCATACATATGTATGCTCATGTACATATATATACATACACACACACAGAAATGCTTTTAAAATATTAAAATCCCTGATACTGAAAGGCAGAGTGAAGTATTTACGTATTTATACTGGCTTCCTTGTGTACTTATACACACATGCATGAGAATGTACTCTGGAGCTGTGTGCCTTAGTCCTCAAGATAAAAGCAAAACAAGTGATTAAGAATTTCCACAGAAGTAGTCTGGTTTTCAAAGAAAGAGTGGAATACTGGATCATTACATTGTTTCCTTTAATGGAATGATGATATACATATGTGTTGTGTGGTATTTTGTTTGTGTTCTGACAAATAAAGCTTGCCTGGAGATCAGAGGGTGGCACTACCCACTAGTTAACCACAGAAGCCAGAAAGTGGTGGTATACACCTTTAATCCCAGCACTCCTGGCTCACACCTTTAATCCCAGCCCTCAGGAGGCGGAGACAGAAAGTGATACAGTGGGGTGTAGAGAAGATCTCAGCCTTTTTGGGTTTAGGAATGAGACAGGTAGGAAGCAACTGGCAGCTGCTCTGGGTTCTTTGATCTTCCAGGTTTTTACCCCAATATCTGACTCCTGGTTTTTACTGATTAAGATGATTAGATTAATATTATATATTATATATTATATATTATATATTATATATTATATATATTATATATTAATATATATAATAACATTACAGAAAAAGCAAGATTGTGCTGGGTGTGGTGGTGCCTTAACCCCTTGATCCTAGCACCCTAAAAGCAGAGGCACATAGATCTGTGAGTTCAGCACAGCAGCCCCTAGTTGGTTTCCCTCCCTCCTATGGATGATGCCCTAGACCATGTGCTTATGACAGCACTTATTGAACCGACTGGGCTATAGTGTAAAGAGAGAGAAGATGTGAAGTT